GGCGGCGGCGGCGGCGATGGCGGCGCGTGGGCGCGCGGCGGCGATGGCGGCGGCGGAGCGGCGGCTGCCGAGCGTGGACGAGTTCGCGGGGCAGAGCTGGAGCGCATGGGTGGAGCGGGCCGGGCCGCCCGCAGAGCCGGGTGAGGGGGCGGCGGGCCGGGAGGGGGGGGAGGAAGGGGGGGGTGGGGGTCGCTCCCGGGGTTGGGGGGGGGTCACCGCCAAACGGGGCCGCGCCCGCAGCCCGCGCCGCCCCGCACCTCCCCGCCCCCGGGCGCGGAGAGCGGCGGGCGCCCCGCGACGGGCGGTGGGAGACGCGCAGCGCGTCCCGCAGCGGAACCGGGGTGCGGGTGGAGGCGTGCGGGGAGCGGCGATCCGTCCCGCCGGTGCACCGTCCTGCGGTCACCGGGAGCGGGGTGCGCGGTGCTGCACGGCCGGGGGGAACGGGGATCCCGCGCGATGGAGCTGCGGGCGGCCGCTGTGACACGGCTGGACAGCGCCGGGCGCACGGAATGGCATCGCCGAGAGGGACGGCGAGCCCGGCGTGGCGCAGCCGGGTACGAGTGGGCGCCCAGCATGGCGTGGATGGACGGCACTGGGCACCCCGGATGGCATCGCTGCAAGAGGCTGAGTGCCCGGTATGGCACGGCTGTGCACAGCTCGGTGCCCGTATGGCACAGCTGGACGGGACCGAGTGCCCGTTGTGGCACAGCCAGGCAGAGCTTGGTGCCCAGCTGGGTGGCACTGAGCCCCCGGCGTGGCACAGCCAGACGGGATCGAGTGCCCAGCGTGGCACAGCTGGATGGGGTGGCTGGGGACACGTGGGCAGTCAGGACAGGTGCTGCTGGCATGGCTGGGGGCACACGGGTGACCCGGCCCCAAGATGGGCTGACCCCACATCCCTGCTCAGCCCCACACGTGGCAGTGGGGCACTGCTGGTGGCTTCAGGCTCTCGGTGCTCTCTGCACATCACAGTGCCCACTCTGTGCCACCAGCTGTCACGGGGTGCAGCCGGGTGCCACACGTGGCACTCCCTCATTCCGGGGCTGAGCTCTGGATTCATCCTCGGGTCTGATTTTAACCTTTGTAATTGTCCTTTTAATTGCCCTGGCAGCACCGGCCGGTGTGTGGCAGCAGGGGGATGCAGTGGCTGCAGAGAATTTGGGCAGACAAGGCAGAGCTGAGGCCGGCACAGCTCAGCATATTGATGGTGGGATTCTGTTCCCAGCAGGGTTGGAGCTGGAGGAAAGCAGCAAGGGGAGCAAGAAACTGGACGCCATGACGCTGATCAAGGAAGGTAAACTCCCCGTTTTGGGGCGAAAACCCCCTGTTTTGGGGCCGCACAAAGCCCCGGTGCCTGACCCACCTCCACCCCACAGACATGTCCATCTTCGGCCACTGCCCTGCGCATGATGAGTTCTACCTTGTGGTGTGCAACCACTGCAGCCAGGTGGTGAAGCCTCAGGCCTTCCAGAAGCACTGCGGTGAGCTGGGGGGGGG